CGGCGTGAGAGTCCCCATTTATCTACTCACGTGAGTTTTCGAACTGTTGGGTTGACAGGAATATTAACCAGTAGGAGGCACCATTTGACCAGTTTCATCTTATTAAGACTTCTCAGGCATTGGTGGTCTCCATACATTCAAACCCCTTTACCAGAATCTGAAAGCACAAACCTTCACACGAGGTGACCAGCAGAGTATTTAGCTTGAGAATTATTCTGGCTTGGTTGTCAGAAGCTTGTGGGAAGAGATGCCTATAGATACTACAATAGATCTGCTTCCTTTTACCCTCACATGCTAGAGGGCTCAAGACCTCCCCATTTAAGCTGGGTTTGAACAGAGACTACCTCTGCCTGATTAATCTCAGTAAAGCTAAAACCAGTTGCATAGTGCCTCCTGCTGGTCAGTAACATCTGTACAAACTATATGAAAGTCCTAAGACCTCTAGCAGGAGGTCCAATCACACAAGAACAGTAACCTCTCTAGTCTGAGAGGGTATAAGGAAGGAGATCTATTCTAGCATCACAAGGGTGAATAAATGTCTTTGCGTGTGAATACACATCCCTCTCTCTTTGGATGCTGTCTGTGGGGAGAACCTTGATGATCACTTCACCGTTCCTGCAAAATAGGAACAAGAATTGCCATAACTCTATCCTTTTCTGCTGGCTAGTTTTAGAATCCATAGTTTGAACTTCTGATCTTGCTACTAACTCAGGTATAGTTCTGTAAACACACGTACACATAGAGATGAACCTGCTGTATATACGCACTCTGATCTCCTTAATGGGTTGAAACTATTCCATCAAGTGATGCCTTGACAATTCAGGGTTTAAACTTCAACATACCACACAATAAACTTACTGTATATCATCATCTGTCAGTGGCTGTTATAAAGCAATGTTAATTTTAAATGGTGCTAGGCCAAAATCTTCCTTAAATATCCCCCATATATCAAGAGTTGGGGTGATTGGGTGGGCTAAACTTTGCCCATACAAAGGTGAGAATATTTCCTCTCTCTCCCACCCACCCACCCTCACCTTTTTAGCTATAAAACATGGGACACTGTCTGCTATTTTACTTCTTCCACTCCCTAGAATGACTTTGAAGCTCTTCAGTGCAAAACATGGTGAATTTTCTGGAATGACACGGGGACAAGTATAATGGAGGATGTCATGGCATTTCAAAGCTGCTAGATAAAAATGGTAGAGAAGGAGTTATGGTGCATACAACAATGTAGGGGCTTTGTTTTAAAAATAAAAAGACAAATAGCGGAAGGAAGGAAGGAAGGAAGGAAGGAAGGAAGGAAGGAAGGAAGGAAGGAAGG